AACCAGTCCCCACACCCCTCCCAGAGCCGGGGAGAGAACCCAGGAGTCCTGGCTCCCAGCCCCTCCTGCTCTAACCCACCGGCCCCCACTCCCCTCCCAGAGCTGTGGAGAGAACCCAGGAGTCCTGGCTCCCAGCCCCCCCCCCCCGCCTCTAACCCACCAGCCCCCACTCCCCTTCCAGAGCTAGGGAGAGAACCCAGGAGTCCTGGCTCCTGCCACGTGCCCCCCTTCCAGGAGCCGGGAAGCCTCCAGAAAAGCACTGCCTGGCCCGTCACCACCACCCGTGTGACTCGATTACCGATGAGTCAGTGGCTCTCTGGGGACTTTCCCGGCTGCCGAGGCCCCGGCCACACGTCGGTCCTGTCCAACCCCACGCGCGCCAGGCTCCCCGGTCACGACCGGCATGGCACCAGGGCTGATGCAGGCCGCCTTTGTGGGCCCGATCTCAGCCACGCTCCCGCCCCGGGCTCAGCCCAGTGCTTTCCAAGGGTAACCCCAGTTGTCCACACGCCATCTGCCGAGGGGCCCGGGGGACAAGCCGGGACTGGCCGGTCTCTGTGGGGTGGGGGGACGCTCAGCCAGGGGATGGGGCTGAAAACATCCAGGGGAGCAGCGTGAAAAACAGCCTTAGGTAGGGGGAAAAAACGTAGCCACTAAGTTGGGATGCACTGGGGGGGTTACACAGAAGCCCCACTTTGGGGTAATGCTGTGGGGGGAAGAGGTGGGGCAGCTGGTTACCCAAGGACCCCTCACCCAGCCCTGAGATGCAGCCACCTCTGGGGCAGGGTGACTGGTTACACAGGGACCCCTCGCCCGGCGCTGAGATGCAGCCATTTCTGGGGCAGGGCTGCTGGTTACACAGGGACCCCTCGCCTAGCCATGTGGCCCCTTCACTGCCCCCTACTGACCCGCTGGAATAAGACAGGCAGCACCAGGTTCGGTTGGTTACTGATTTATTATTTTCCTTTTTAAATTTCAACCTTCTTCCGAAAAGAGAGCGAAGCTTCCACAGCCAACCCCCAAACATCTCTGGGCCGGAGGGGGGGGGGGCTCTGTGTGGGGTGAAGCTACAGGGCAGGGGGGCCCAACAGAAGGACCTGCAATGCACCGCAGCACGTGGGAGGGGAGGCGTAGCCCTGAGATAGACCCACACCTGAACTCCCCACACCCCAGCTTTGCCGGTGCCCCTGACTCCCGACCCGCAGCCCCTGCCAGCCCAGCCCCGGGCCCCCCCAGCTCAGCCGGTGCCCCTCACTCCCGACCCGCAGTCCCCTGCTAGCCCAGCCCTGCCCCCCCCCCGCAGCTCAGCCGGTGCCCCTCACTCCTGACCCGCAGCCCCTCAGCTATTTCAGGCCTTGGGCTATTCTAAGCTCCTTTCACGCACTGCTGCGGAACAAACATCCATTCAGCTGCAAAACCTGCCTTTCAAGTGGCTCATTATGAACAGCAGAGAACATGGCCAAGGTCACAGACAGCATCAGCTACGAATATAACCCAGGATCCTGGCTCCCAGCCCCCCTGCTCTAACCCCACCCTGGAGTTTAATTCCCCTCCCACGTCTTAAACTCATCTGGTGGGATCTAAGAAAAACGTGCTCCCTACTGGCTCTTGAGGTGCACTGCAGGTTCACACAGGGTTTGCGGAAAAAGAGCCCGGTTCAGTGTGGGGATGGAACCGTGCCCAGACCCCGGGGCAGAGCTGGGGCCGTCTGTCGTCGGCCCCGTTGGAGCCGGTCCTGGGCTACGTTACAGTGACATGCTCAGCAGCTGTTGCCCGGAGCTGGCGAGAGATTGGATCCTGTTCAGTGCCGAGATGCAGCCACTTCTGGGGTGGGGCGGCTGATTACACAGGGCCCCCTCGCCTGGCGCTGAGATGCAGCCACCTCTGGGGCAAGTCATGGCAGCTGCTGAACTGCCGCCTGCAACTCCATGAGAACGTAGGCCAGGAAGCGAAGGAAAAGGACGTTTCAGGGGAGGGGGAGGGGAGTGGAGACTTTGTCCCGGACTCCTGGGTCCCGTCCCCCTGGCTTTCCTCTGGGTGTTTGCCGGCAGCAGGGCCCCTTGCTCCCCCGGGAGAATGGGAAGTGCCGCTCTCGTTTCTGTACAGAGTCCACCAACCCCGAGAGGACGGGGCCTGTCTGTCCAGCCACCGGCAGGCCGACCGGAAGCCAGGATTGTGCGAAAGCGGGGGGGTGGGTGTGTTCCTGGATGGGGGGGGCGTGTAGCCCCCCCGTGCCCTCCCCCTCGCTGGAGCATTATTGCTATAGGAAGAGCTGGCTCTGGATGATCGATGGGTTTTGTTGTTTTTTCATTTAAAGTGGAGAAAGAAACTCGAGTGGAAAGAAAAATGTCCTGGGTGGATTTGATCAATATCCTTCCACCACGGGGAAAGGGGGGGGGCAGTGAGAGAAAAACAGTCCCCCGAAGGGAATTCCCCAAGTCCCCAGCAGGGGGCACCAGCCAGCTGGGGGGACGGAGGGACGGACAGAGTCCCAGAGCCACACGGGAGCCAACTGGGGGTGCGCAGGGAAAGCCACAAGTGCCCCCCATTCTCCACGTCGGCTGGGTTAATTAGATCGATCGATGAATCCCGGGCCGAGGCGGTGCCCCATCCCTTTAAAAACGAGAGCATGGATATGGCGGAAGGCGAAGCGGCCGGCGAGATCCGGCGCGAAAGCTGGCAGGGTGGGCGGGGCCTTTCACCCGCCAATCCCCTGGCTCATGCTGGCAGTGGGGATAGGTCGAAGCACCGGGAAGGTACGGGGGAGGGGGGTGGTCTTGGGTCATGCGCGAAGCGGCTCCTTCTCCCCAGCAGTGCAGAGAGCCGGGCAGAGGGATACACAGTCCGGTGGGACAAGGACATGCACAGTCCCGGGCGCCGATGTGTCCCTACGCCCGGGACTCTTTTTTCGTATTGGGCTTGTTGCCCAGGAGGGTGTCGATTTCCTGAATGACGGGCGGGGTCAGCTGGGCCAGCACCTGCCGGGAAAGGGGGGGTGGTGAGATTCCCTGCGCCAATGCCACTCCCCCTGCTGGGAGAGAACCCAGGAGTCCTGGCTCCCAGCCCCCCCGCTCTGACCCACCAGCCCCCACTCCCCTCCCCTTCCCTCCCCTCCCAAAGCTGGGGAGAGAACCCAGGAGTCCTGGCTCCCAGGCCCCCCTGCTCTGACACACCAGCCCCCACTTCCCTCCCAGAGCTGGGGAGGGGGGCACGGCAGGGGAGGGGCGCTCACCTGGATGGCTCCGAGGTTCTCGATCAGCTGTTCGGCGCTGGACACCCCGAGCAGGACGGAGCTGACGCCCTCAGAGCGCAGGCACCAGGCTGTGGGGCAGAGACGGGGAGGTGGGAAGAGCCTGTGGGGGGCAGTCCCCCCTGCCTGCCAGGGGAGAGTGCCCCCTGATCCACTCCCTGCCCCACAGCGCCCCATAGCACTGCCCTGGGGCCAGCCCTGCCTGCCAGGGGAGTGCGCCCCCTGCTGAGCCCCCCGCCCTGCTCCCTGCCCCACAGCACCCCCTAGCACCACCCTGGGGCAGGGCCTGTCCCTCACCGATCGCCAGCTGGGCCACGGTGCAGCTCAGACTCTCGGCGATGGGCTGCAGCTCCTTGATCTTGGCCTGTTGCTTCCGCCCGTCGTCGCTCTGCAGCTTCTCCTTCAGCCACTGGTAGCCCTGGGATGGGGAGGGGGGGACAGGGCGTCAGGTGGTGCCGGGGGGCGGGGTTTAAGGGGGTGGAGGGGCAGGGGGGGCCCAGATAGGGGTGCAGGGCCACCAGGGGCACTGGGGGCGCAGAGGCATGGATGGGGTGGGGGTGTCCCGGCAGGGTATGAGGGAGGCCCCCGTACCTTGATGGTGGCCCGACAGTTCTCGGGGACCCGCTCCTCATACTTGCCGGTGATGAGGCCGCAGGCCAGGGGGGACCAGGTAACGGCACCCACACCTGGGGGGGGAAAAAGAGGGATTAGCTCCCCCCTAGCGATGCCCCCTGCCCCTCCCCCTTCACCCCACAGATCCTCCCATCTTCATCCCCTCCCCCATAGCCCCTGCCCCACAGGTCCCTTCTATCCCATCTGCACCCTCCAACACCCTGCCTCATGGACCCCCCAACCTCCTCCCCCCCACCTCCAGCTCCCCACTCCTCCCCCCCAACACCCTGCCCCATGGATCCCCCTCCACCCATCACCCACCCCAGAGATCTCCTTCACCCCCAACACCCTGCCCCATGGATCCCCCCACCCATCATCTACCCCACAGATCCCCTTCATCCCCAGCTCCCCACTCCTCCTCCCACACCCTGCCCCATGGAGCCCCGTCCTCCCATCCCCTCTCCAGAGATCCCTTCCACTCCCAAATCCCCACTCCTCCCCCCCCACAACACCCTGCCCCCTGGATCCCCCTCTACCCATCACCCACCCCAAAGATCCCCTCCACCCCCATCGGATCCCCCCCACCCATCATCTGCCCCACAGATCCCCTCCACCCCAGCTCCCCACTCCTCCCCCTCAACACCCTGCCCCATGGACCCCCTCCCCCACCTCCCCCCAGGCCCCGTCCGCGCCTCTCCCCCCCCGGGTGCGGGCACCCACCGATCTTGTGGTAGAGCTCGGGGAGCTGCGACTCCACCTTGTCGCGCTGGAACATGTGGTACTCGGCCTGTTCGCACACCGGTGGCACGAGGTTGAACTGCCGGGCCACCGAATACGCCTCCTGTGGGGCATGGGGGGCGGGGGGTGAGATGGGCGTGGCCAGGGGACGCCCTCCCCGGTATTCCCCCATGCCTCCTGGCATCGTCCTCCCTGGCACGGGCCCCTGAAAGGCTCCCACTGCCTAGGGGCCCTGTCCCCTCCCTCTACCCTGCTCCCCCGCAAACCGGGGGTGCCCTCCGCCCCCCCCCCAAATTCCCAGTGTGGGCGGGTCACTCACCATGATCTCCATGGCGCTCCAGCGCGAGGTGCCCCAGTACATGGCCATGCCCTGGTTGATGACGTAAGTCATGGCCCGCACGATCTCTGGGCATGGGGGGAAGAGGGGAGACAGGTCAGCCGAGGACCCCCGCTTCCCCCCTACTGGGGGAGCCTCACTTTCAAACCCCAGCCGCTCAAAGCCGCGGGACCTGAGTCCCACTTGGGTGCCGTGTTCACTCTGAATCCTACTGATGGCTGTTCCTAGCGCTGGCAGAGACGCGACCTGTGGCCACTCACATGGTGTTAACTCTGAACCTGACTGATGGGGAATGTTAGCCCTGCCTGCAGGACGATAGCTGAGCTCGAGCAACCTCCTGCCCCGCTAGATAAGAGTGAGTGTTCACTCTGAACCCTGCTGACAGCCGTTCCTAGTGCCGGCAGAGACGTTACCTGCGTCCGCGTGCGCAGCAGTAACTCTGAACTCTGCTGACAGTGACTGTTAGCCCTGCCTGCAGAACAGCTGTGCCAGAGACACCCCCTATATAACAACGTTCACTCTGAACCCTACTGATATCACATTTTAGCCTGGCCTGTGGAACAATGGCTCTGTCAGACTTACGACCTGCTGGCAGTGATACCAATGGGAGTGTTAATCCTGGCCCCTACTGATGGGCAAATACATCTCAATAGCGCTGACAGATATGGGGGCCGCTACCATTTAGCGCAACGGACCGTTGACTCTGAAACCTACTGATGGCAGCATTTTCCGCCCACTCTGTGGACAGACCTGTGACCTGGCCCAATTAATCTCAGTGACCGGGTTATTTCTGGTGATGAATTCACTCCTAGCTGGCCCCAGGAGAGACGTGATACGGCCCTATTTAGCGCAACGGGGTGTTGACTCTGAAACCTACTGAGGGCGGTTTTTCACAATCAGATTGCAGAGCCAGAGCAGACAGAGGTGGGACCTGGGCCGAGCCATCTCCAAGGGACGTACCGGCCACGGGCCTGTTAGGATCTGTGTCTGTCTGGCTGCAGGCAGGTTCCACCCCCCTCTCAAACATTACAGTACGAGCAGACACCACTCTGCACTGACACATACGTATAGAGCCCAACCTGTAGGGTAGAGTCCCATGAACACCACAGCGACCCAGCATGGGGTCTCGATCCTACACTGCTTAGTCAATGGGGGTCAGAGGGGCTATGGGGTTCTAGGGGGCTTTGGGGTGGGACTGGGTCAATGGGGAGGTCTCTGGGGACTTGGGGGGGTCCACCCTATGTGGGAGGTCTATGGGGTCTGGAGAACAAGGGGGGTTAATGGGATTCTAGGGAGTTCGGGGAAGCTCTGCCCTACAGTGCCGGGTCCATGTGTGTGTGGGGGGGGGCGGGGGGGGGGTAGGGCAAGGAAGTTTGTGGGGCATTCAGATTCTATTGGTTTTAAGGGGCAACTATGGGGTTTTGGGGATTTCTATCCTACGGGGCCAGGTCTATGGGGTTCAATGAGGTTGGGGGGGGGTCAGTGAGCATTCAGGGGGGTCTCTGCCCTTTGGGGCCAGGTCTATGGATTTTGGGGGGGTCTACGGGGGTTCAGGGGGTCTCGGGTTTGGGGGTGTCAATGCGAGTTCAGAGGGGTCTCTAGCCCACAACGCTGGGCCTATTGGGTTCTATAGGTTCTGGGAGGATCTATAGGAGTTTGGGGGGGGTCTATGGGGCTATAGAGGGTTTCCATGGGGTGGGGGTCTACAGGGGGTCTCTCCAGTACCTTCCAGTAGCAGTAGGCGGAAGTTGGGGTCATACTCTGCGGGGGGAAGCAGACAGAGGTGAGGGGAAGATATGGGGGGCCCATCCCCCCACAACTCCCCCCCCATGAGATATCCCGGGGAACACATACACGCGCGCGAGGGCTCTTGGTGCTGGGCTGGGGGTGCCCCGGAGGGGCAATGCTGAAGGGACGGGGGGAGGGGCGTGGAGGGGGCGGAGCCAACAGGGGTGCGGGACCAACCTTCCATGGGGCTGTTGGCGTCCATGCGGTTGGCGAAGACGATATCGACGTAGTCCAGCTGCAGCCGCTCCAGCGACCCCCTCAGCCCTGGGGGGGGGCATGGCGGGAGGGGGGTCAGTCAGGGGGTGCAGTGACCCCCACCCCACAAGGCCCCCTGAATCCTGCCACAGACTCCTCCCCCCACAGACTCCTCCCCACAGAGTCCCGGTGCCCCTCACTCCCCCCTGGGATGGACGCCCCCCATGCTTCCCCCCCCCAGTTCCCCCTCCTACCCCACCCCTCTCTTCTGCTGCCCCCTCCCCACAACACCCCCCACCTGCCCAGCCCCCTGAATCCTGCTAGCCCCCACCCCATCCCTTGCTCCATCTCCCCTGAGGCCCCCAAATCCTGCCCGCACCCCCTCCTGCTGTCCCTCCCCTCAGCTCCGTCCCCGTCAGCCCAAACCCTGCCCCACCCCAGCTCCACCCCACCCCAGTGCTGCCCCCCTCATCTGCATCTCACCCTCAATGATGTGTTTCCGGGAGAGGCCCCGCTCTGTCTCTGCCCTGAAGGGGGAGAGATTAAGATTTGAGGGTGGGGGGGGGTCCCTAAGCCACCCATAGGGACCTGCCCCCAGGGGGAACAGGGGGCCTCAGGGCCCATGGCCAGCTCAGCCTCCCCCCCCCACACACACACTGGGCTGAGACCCGGCAAACTCATCTCATTGATAAACATGGATCCGGATGGGAGCTGGCGCCCCCTAGAGGGGACAGGTCCCTGCCCCATTCCCCGCCCCCCAGCCCCATGGCATTCTGAGTACTCACTGGCCACCCCAGTAGATCTTGGTGGTGACAACGTAGCTGGATCGCCTGGGGTAAGGAAGGGAGGCAGGTTAGACAGGCAATGGGGAGACTCCCAGCCCAGCTCCCTGGTCCCTGCCCCATAGTGTCCCCTACAGAAGGGAGGTTCGGGGGCCGGTTACCTCCAGCCTTTGCTTCGCAGGATGTTGCCCAGAGTTTTTTCTGCCCTGAAGGGAAGAGGGGGGGAAAAAAGCAGATGAAAGAGAAAATAGAGAAATAGAAGGAGCTCCCCCCCCCCCACCTCCCCCCCCCCCCAGGTACACAGTCTTCCCTAGCCAGGACTCCTGGGTTGTCTCCCGGTTCTGGAAGGGGAGTGGGGGCTGGTGGGGTTAGAGCAGGGGGGGCTGGGAGCCAGGACTCCTGGGTTCTCTCCTGGCTCTGGGAGGGGAGTGGGGGCTGGAACCAGGACTCCTGGGTTCTCTCCCCAGCTCTGGGAGGGGAGTGGGGGCTGATGGGTTAGAATGGGGGGGGGGCTGGGAGCCAGGACTCCTGGGTTCTCCCTTGCAGGGGGAAGGACACCTACTTGCCAGAAGCATAGACCTCGGCCGTGTCGAAGAGGTTGAACCCGTTCTCGTAGGCGATGGTCATCACATTCTCCGCCGTCTGGGGATGCAGAGAGCTGAGTCAGACGAGGGACCCACGGCTCCGCGCCGCCCCCCTCACCTGCGCTGGGCCCCCCAGGATCTCACAGGGACCCCCGGCTGACCCAGGACTCACCTCGTCTGAGATCTGGGAGCCAAACGTCACCCAGGTGCCTGTGGGGGAGAGAATCGGTGATATGAGCCAGAGCCAGGAGAGGGGGAGGGTGTAGGGGCTGGAGAGGGGGGGCACAGCCCCCTCTACCCTCCCCAGTCTGTGCCCTTCCAGTGACCCCCAAGCCCCACCGGGATCCCCCCAGACTGCGCTCCCCACGCCACCCACCTGTCCCCGACACGAGAACTCACCAAGCCCGAGGCAGGAGACACGGAGCCCGGATTTACCCAGATTTCTGCGGGAGAAAGAGCAGAATTGGGGAGGTTTACAGACGCGCCCCCCCCCCCCAAAGACAGAGAGTCCCGGTGCCCCTCACTCCCGACCCACAGCCCCCTGCTGGCCCAGGCCTGGGCACCCTCCACCCCAGCTCTACTAATGCTCTTCGATTACCTTGAGCCCCACCGGGCTTAGCACTGGGCCAAGGGTCCCTGCGTAACCAGCCACCCCGCCCCAGAGGTGGCTGCATCTTAGCGCTGGGCAAGGGGTCCCTGTGTAACCAGCTGCCCCACCCCAGAGATGGCTGCATCTCAGCGCTGGACAAGGGATCCCCATGTAACCAGCCACCCCGCCCCAGAGGTGGCCGCATCTCAGCGCCGGGTGAGGGGTCCCAGGGTAACCAGCCGCCCCACCCCAGAGGTCGCTGCATCTCAGCGCCGGGCGAGGGGTCGCTGGATAACCAGCCGCCCTGCCTCAGAGGTGGCTGCATTTCGGCGAAGTGTCCCATATACGAGGCAGATACACATCCTCTGGTGTCCAATCTCCCCCACGGCTCTGGTTTATTCCCAGTGGTGCGGATCTCGGAGCTATTTATAGTAACTTCTCGCTCACTGCGGCTGCTTCGGCTGGCACAGGAGCTGGGCATCTCTGGCCGGAGCAGAGAGGGGAAACCGAGGCACTGACCACATGCCATGCCAGAGGTCACACAGCTAGTCTGGGGAGCAACAAACCCAGGAGTCCTGGCTCCCAGCCCCCCTGTTCTAACTCATCAGCCCCCACTCCCCTCCCAGAGCCGGGGAAAGAACCCAGGAGTCCTGGCTCCCAGCCCCCCTGTTCTAACTCATCAGCCCCCACTCCCCTCCCAGAGCTGGGGAAAGAACCCAGGAGTCCTGCAGCCACAGGACTACCCCTACCTTACGGAAGGGGACTAGCACCCAGAGCTGGAGGGGGGGGGCATTATTTTAAAGCCATTTAAAGGGTAAAATGGGACAGAATTAATTGGCCCCTGCCGGGGTGGGGATCGGAAGGGGGTACAGAGCCCAGTTACCCCATCACAGCTCTCTGTACCCCCAGAGACCCTACAAAAACTCACCCGCACACACAGCCCCAGCTCCCCTACAATAATAAACTGGTAGGACTTGGAGTATCTGTGATTGGAAGTTGAATGAAGTGTGGCCAATTGTCTCCAGTCCCTGCCCCTTCCCAATCCACTAGCCCCACACTTCCCTCCCAGCGCTGGGGAGAGAACCTAGGAGTCCTGGCCCCAGCCCCCCCTGCTCTAACCCACCAGCCCCCACTCCCCTCCCAGAGCCGGGGAGAGAACCCAGGAGACCTAGCTCCCGGCCCCCCTGCTCTAACCACTGAGGCAGGAGCACTTCTTATCCATCTCAATGTCCCCTACGCCCCATGGGTGTCCCCAACCCCCACTCCAGGTCCCCCCCAACTCCCCCTCCGGCCCAGCCCCAGCCCCCCTACCTGTATTTCATTCCGGTGGCCAGCCCAGTGGACTCCCGAAGCAGGAATGCGATGTGGGGCAGGTTCTGGCCGGGTGCTCGCAGCCCCGCCACGGCCACCAGCCCCCGGGCCCCCTTAGGGGGCTGGTGCCCCCCATTCCCCGCGCCCCCCTGGGCCGGCACCCCGCGCCCTCCCGCACAGAGCCGCTCCTCTGTGCTGCGGCTCCGCAGATTCTGCTCGGTGCAGGCGATAGAGACCTGCATAGCTCAAGGGCAATGGGGGGGCTGGGACCCCCGGGGATCCTGGCTCGTAACCTTAGGGTGACTGCAGCCCCCCCTCTCCTGTCCCCGAAAGGGGCTGCCGGGAATCTGGGGTGGGAGTGGGGGAGGGGCCGAGGCCGTGCGGGAGAGGGGGCAAATGGGGTTGGGCGGGGGGAAGTTGTGGGGAGGGGGCAGAGAGGTTCCCTCCAGTCCCGGAGGGTTCGCTGCACAGTGCACAGCAGCCTCGGCCTCATTAGCATAACAGGCTCCGCCCATTTGTTCAGGGCAAGAGATGGTGGGAGGGAAGCAGATGGATTGACGTGGGTTACAGCACGGGGGGGCTGGGAGCCAGGACGCCTGGGTTCTCTCCCCGGCTCCGGGAGGGGTGTGGGGGCTGGGGGTTAGAGGTGAGGGGGCTGGGAGCCAGGACGCCTGGGTTGTCTCCTAAGGTGATGAACTCTGACACCCCCTCTCCCCACCCCAGCCCCGGGCATCTGATTCCCGCAGTCTGATCACAGCCCCCCAAAGCTGGAGGGGGAGGGGCGCTGCGCTCACAGCGGCAGTGACTCTTAAAGGGCCCCCACCCCGGGTGCACCCCCC